ATCGACTTTCAAACGATTCAATCGGTTGCGTAGGTTAGGCGGTCGGCTGTACAGACGAAATATATATTTGAAATTCTTCTCTATTATAATAAAGAATTTTCAAAGAAATTAAATACTTTGGAATATTTGGAATTGTCTATTATTCGAAGTAGGTAGGTATCGCCTTTAGAATTATTTTTTTAATTAATTTAATTAATAATTATGACAAAATAAAAATATTTTCTCATCGGTTAAGTTATAACTTAAAATTTTAATTAAAACGATCGTCTTTTTTCGACTATTATTTTAGACGATCGCCTTTTGTATCGTTTATCACTTTAAACGATCGTCTTTAGGGTCGGCTATTATTTAAGACGATTAAAGACGATCGTTTAAATCATTAAACGATTTCGTTTGAAAGTAGACGATCATCTTCAGACGATCGTCTTTTTTACAAAAGATCGTTTAAAAAATTAAGCGATATCGTTTAAAAATAGACGATCGTCTTTTTTTTTAAACGATTTTTTCCCATGGGTTATCTTGAAACAATAATTTTATTTTAATTGGCTCTGGAATGACTTGATCTCCGACTTCTATATTCACTTTGGTTAATGGAGAGATTGATCGTACTATTTCATTATTAATTTTAGTTTTCTTTAAGCGACTAACTCTACGTTTATATATATTTTTTTTTTGTAGCATGTACCAGTTCTTTTTCTAGTTGTTTTACTTGTCGATACGAAGCACTGCGGTCTCTTCTAACTTTTTGTCTGCCTCGGATGGTATTGTGATGTTCCGCATTTGTAACTTGAGGCAGAGGACTAGGTGCTGCCTCATCTAAGACGGCTTCTAGATTGCGTCGTCTTTTGATAGAATTTGCACGGCTTCTACGTTTTCTGTCCCTCCATTCCTTGCGTTGTTTTATTTTAGATCGTTCTGATAAGTCGCCAATTTGCTTATCAATCTTTGTAATTCGTCGATTCTGCGCTCTTTCTCTCATTTTCCTTAAATATTCCTCTCTTTTTTCAGGGTCTGCGTTAATTCGCTCACTATATCTTCTTTGTTTCTCAGCTGAAGTTAGACCCAGGTTTTACCTGTTTAAAATTATAACACAAAACGTCAGATGAGCTAAACAATTACTTTTTGTCACATAAGTTACCAAATGGTCACTTAAGTTACCAGCAGAAGCAGTAACGTATGTGATGGTAACTTATGTGACATTCGGCCTTTAAATTTAAAAATGCTGCCATAGACAGAAGCGCAAACAAGCTAACTTGGCCTAAGTTTAAGACTAATATTGTTAGATTATGTCTCTAAAGTAAAAGCCGTTGAAATAACTACAATAAACTAATAAATTCAACAACTTAAGTAACCTATAATAGTATACTTGTTTGTAGCACTTGGATTTTTATTATTATTTTATTTGGTCATCAGATTGAATGGTATTTATTATTACATGAGAAATAAGCCTCCAAACATATTTTTTTTTTAAAAGCACATGAATTCTCTCCATTTCCATTGCACTATAAAAAGTTTCTATTAGCATTTATCACCATCGACCACTCCTCGCTCTCACGTTGCGTCGTTTTAAACGGCAATTGCCAACCGCGAAACCAACGCGAGCGGGCGAATTGAATCGAGTATTGCCGAAAATGATCGTTCTTAAAATATTTTAATAATAGTAATTAAAGTCTTTAATAATCATTAATATTTGCATATAAACGGTTTAATAATGGTAATAATAAAAATAGTAATAAAACAATTTAATAACCATATTTAATCAATGTAATTGTCCTAATAATCCTTTAATTGGTTTAGGTATTTAACCACAATAACCACAATAAAAACGTTTTAAGAATCCGTGTTTAACAATGACAGTGATAACATTGTTATAATAGTATATAAATGTATTATTGTTAAAATCATATGTATTATTATCACAATTAAACCAGTATTTGTTAAAGTGTTTTGTTAGCTCATTTCTTTCAGTGTAGAATAAATAATATTCATCAGCACCTCGATCAGAACGAGATTTGAACACTTGAATCAGGTATAGAAATCAGAACATGCATCAACTTTGACTGTGAATAGGTACTTCAAACAGCTTCAAAAATGTCACTACCTGATTTATGATGTTCATCAGTAGGATTATAGAAAGATGTAGTTTTTGTTTCTCATGTTGATGCTTCGGCTCGCAGTGATTCCTTTTGTTTAATTCTTTGATAGAAAGTACTAGAATATCTAAATTTCTTTTTATTTACCTTAGGCATTTTACAAAATTTTAATAAAGCTTAAAAGCAAGAAAAGAAAACACCAAAACAGAGCAGCACACTATAGTGCATAACATATATGCATATATGCAATCTGAGGCAATTACATTTATTAGGGTATATTAAGTTATGGACACTATTAAGTAGCCATTTTTGATCCCCGCGAATTTTTAGTGGCAAAGGATAAGCGACGGCTACTTTATAGTGACCTAGGAAGGTAGCAGTAACCATTTTGTTACTTTCAATGCTACTATAAATTAGAGGTGTCGTGGCCGCGACTACCCCGTAACTTAAATTGTTACCATAAAGTAACAAAAACTTAATGGAGGCATTATGGTAGCACTTGTTAGTGACCGCTACTTTAAAAAGTTACTATAAAGTTTTTGGTCTTTTATGGTGTCATATTTGAAGATTCAGGTAGTTCCAGCCACTTCTTTAAATTACATGTTTGCCACTTGCAATCGGTGTGTTTATTTTCCACTTTTATGGTAGGTAGGCACTAACCAGTCACTCTCGAAATATACTTCAAAGTGACTATTCCTTATAGAGTAACATTTTAAGTGGCAGGGCCCAGTAAGCACAAATACGTCCTTGGGCTGTCCTCGGGACGTCAGCTTGGGACATTGCGGAAGTACTCAGGACGTCCCGCAATGTCCGTTTGACGTCCCTAGGAGGTCTACAGACGGCCAAATGATACACTTTCAGATGTCCGTAGGACGTCCTGATTAGGACTATGTCGGGATATACTCAAACCAGCTTATTAAGGTACTGTGAGGGCTTTTTGAGACTTTTCTTTGGAAATCCGCATGTTGTCATGATAACTATACAGGGTGTTCGGAATAGTGCCACTAGCACATTTAAAAGAAAATAGATTATACCCTTAGCGGCTTGGCATCCATATTTGTTTCAGCCACCCAATATTATTGGATCTTGCTTTTGGTAGATTGTAAAGAAAACATTTTCTTAGCTTTACATTTGATCAGACTTAGAAATTACGTTGAACCAAAAATAAATAACGAAGCCGAAAACCTTGTGTTGCGGCCATGATACTTTCTTCTTCTTCTCTCCCCTTCTTCCGCTGACGGATATGACACTCCCCTAACGGATATTAAACTTACGCGCTAAATTCAAATATTTAAACGTTCCTTACTATTACACCAACAGTTGGCAAATTCGGCAACTTTTGGAGCACTTCGAGTAACGATCGGTACAAAACGGTGGCAGCACAGTCGAAGCCAGCCGTATTCAAATTTAAATATGATATTATGCGCAGAAAGCAAAGTTATGCAGAACGATAAATGACAGGTAAGAAATGACAGGTGACAAATGACAGGTATGATAGGTGACAAATGACAGGTATGATAGGTGACAAATGACAGGTATGATAGGTGACAAATTACAGGTATGATAGGTGACAAATGACAGGTGTTGGAAAGTGACAGATATCTGCCGCCTTGTATAATATTACAGGTGACAAATGAAGGTGGCAAATGACAGATAAGAAAATGACAGGTGGCAGATTATGAAAGGTGACAGATATTTGTCGCCATGCATCATATGACAGGTGACAGATATCTGTCACTTTGCATCATTAGACAGGTGACAGATGATGCAAATGCTATACATTTTTTTGCCTTTTGGAAAGACGGCATGAAGATATATATATATATATACTATTGCCATTTTAATTCTATGACGTCCTATGGACGTCCCATGGACGTCCAAGGTACGTCAGAAATGGGATATCCTAAACTGGCCCGGACAGACCCAATCAGGATGTCCTTGGGAGGTCGTGTGCTATTTGGGGGTGGGTCTAGGAACTATACTTTAGGGGCAGTGACATTTAAAAAGGACTGGGAACTATATTTGCTAATTGGGGTTTTTAACCTTTTTGGCTGGCGACACACAATTCAAAAATATTAGAAGCTCGCGACCCGATAAAAAATAAAATCATCAATTTTCTACATTTTCTTAATTTAAATTAAGGATGCAGTGATTACGCCGTGCTTTTTCAAAAAGTCCCGCGACCCGAGGTAAGAAACGATGTTCTAGCCATTAAACTTTCATTGCCGACATGATAATCCCAAAAAAAATTGATTACCTACTTTTTTTGACAAATTTGAATTATAATAATTATATTCTTTGAACCCAAAAGTTGACGTGAGATTTTAAATGACCCCCCCTCCCTTAACATGAGATTTGGTGAGATTTTCCCCCCTATTTTTATCTCACGTAATTAATGGATGTGTGCCGTGCATATTTTTTTTTAAATCGTTAATATGAATTCTTAAAAATTTATACTAAAAACGTACATAGTATTATGTATAGTATATAATATAATATGTTTTTCTTTGCTCCAAAAATTCATTTTATCAATTGATCTTAAGATCTACGGTTTAAAAGAAATCCGGTTAAAATCGCACAAAATAAAGATTTTACAGGGGCGAGTCGCAAACAAATGCTAACCAACATACATTGGAAATACGTTAAATCTTATCCCAAATGGGCAAAAATACTAATTAGAAGTTGGTAGACATATTTTTCGATTTATTGTCCAGGATTCTTCATTACAATTAACAGCAAATTGTTATTTTAAAGTAAATGTAAATGGGTCAAGTTAATAAAAAGTATATTTTTTACTTCCTTTTCCATTTTAAAGATAATCAAAATAATAATAAACTTAATAGTTTAATTAAAAGTCCAATATGACATATTTCATAAAATATAATTTGGTAAAAATAAAAATAATATTTAATAAAAAAATAATAAATTTATTTAGATGTGTTGAAAAAACAAATATAATCATGCGATATATTTATTTTAACAAATATAAGGTTTCAAAATAATTACAATCAATGTGATGAGAACTTACAAATAGAAAACGATTTGAAAAACTATTATAATCTATTTGTACTTTACGTTATACAATTTACAAGCTTTTACTTAATATAAAATATTTACAAGGGAAACATCACTGTCCTTTACATATTTAACTAATTTAAAAATCACAGATAAAATTTTGCTTTTGCAGCGGAGGTACACCATAACTCTTTTAGAGTGTTTATAGTAATTGCACCACTAATTAGTCTAACGCAGTATATAAACAACATAGTTCTAATATTCACTTATCCTGATAATATTGTTTTTCTTTTACCTGTAAAGAAAAAAACAAATATTAGCTTTAAATCAATATGAAATATTAACTTTACAATTTATATAGTATATTACAGAAAATAATGCTTTATAAAGTATCTTAGAAGAGTTTCCGTTTCTTTTTATTATCGAATTTTGATGGTGTTATATTTTTGCTGCATTCTGCCTATCAGTACAAATTTAAACTAGGGAAATAATTACAATATTAAAATTTATTATGAAAATGTTTTTTGTTTCGCCGAATTCGTGATTATTTTAGGGTATAGACACGCTTTCAGCTTTTAATACTGAGGCTCAATCCGATCCTAATAAAATTATTGACTTGGCCACTGAAAATGGTATTTGGTTAAATTAAAGTAAATTTTACTTTTGGTGGATTTATGCAGAACAAATTAACATTAACATTAAGATTAATTTAAACAATAGGAGGATATAATGGGCTTAATGTTAATGTGTTGCATAAATGCTTCCATAGTATTACATTCATTTTAACTTTTTAATGTTAATCTTAATGTTAATGTTAATTAATTTGTTTTGCATAAATCCACCATATATGATTCTTAATAATAACTGTGATAGACAATATAACCTAAAGATTATAGACAATAAACTAAATTTTAAACTGCATATCCAAAGTGTCAAAAACAAAATATACTATGCATGTTTTTTTATTCAAAGAAATACAGGTTTCTTTAATCTGGAAGCTAAATACCAGCTGTACCATGCATATACAGGGATGGTAATGTGCTCTTAGGCCGTTTAATAAATAAAGACAAATGCATTATGAGACGTGGGAGTGGTGGAGTGACGTAAGAGTAGTGGGGCAGGCCAGACCGCGCCGCGCGGTGTATGTATCTTGGTGGGATTGTAAAGTAGTTAGAGAAGGGGAAGTAAAACATTGGCGGACGTTTAGTTGTTTTGAATTAATCGTTTTAAAATCTTGTACTGCACGCTTATGGCAGAGGGGAAATAAGTATTTCGATATCCTATTCGTTCAACAATGGTTGTTTGTCTCTCTTATTTATACGTTTATCTCACTTATTCGTACGTTTCATATAGCATGCATCTTTGTTTATTAAACGGCCTAAAAGCCCATTACCATCCCTGTATAAATACCCATTTAATGTACCTACCAAGTGTATGGGGCCAAGCAACAAAATATGACTTGAATCAACTACAAGTCACCCAAAACCGTACAATTAAACTCATATTTTGCAAACCGTTAAGAACAAATATACTATTGCTCTATCATGATTTAAAATTGTTTCAAGTATTCGAACTTAGTAAACTGAATTCTTTAAAATTAATATTTAAAATCAAAAACATGCTACAAACCGAAGTAACTCTACAAATGAACGGTGATATGCATCAACACAACACCAGGACAAATCAACAATATCATGTTTTAAATAGTCCAAGAAACATAGGCCAAAGCATACTGCTGTTATATGTTTTAACTAACTAAAAGAAGACATTAAAAACGTAAATTTATTGTATACATTTACTTATTTGGTAAAAAATTATTTAATATTTAGGTCAACGAAATGTATACGCATTGTTCTAATTCTGTTACCTGTTATGGTTTCTTGTTATCTTTTTTATACTTGTATAGTATATAAAACCCCAAATACAAATTATTGTCAAACGCTGAGAAAGTTTATATGTAAAGTTAACTGAGTCAGTAAACAATGTTATTTTAAATATTAACCTTAATATTAACTTAAATTATTAATAAAAAATAAATAAATTACCTCTAGGTTTTCTTTTTGGTTTTGAAATATCTTCTTCTGAAACAATAATTAAAAATATGTTTATTTGTTGTATTAACTAAATTAAGTAATTAATAATTTAGTTTATTTTAATAAAAGAATAATAATAACTATACTAACCATAGTCTCTTCTACTGGAATTTCCTCCCATATCTGAAAAAAGATTTAGTTTACATTTAAATACCTATGTAAATTATACATTTATCTTATTAGCAATCAGTGTTTTAATTAATAACTTACTTCTCTTCCTTTTACCGTCATTATCCTTTACTTGTCCATACTTATAGGAACCTTAAACCAGGAAATTAATTAATATTGAGTAGACACTTTTAAAGTAGACAGTGATATTTTTGTAAAGTGACACCATTTATAATACTTTTCAATAAAGATATAAAAATATGTAAATAAATGCAATAAATAAAAGTTTACTAATATTTCAGGTTAGTTAAATTAATTAATAAAAATGCATATGAAATTAATTTTAAACTGCCAGTTTTAAAATTGTTTCGAGGATGATGTAATTTAAAAATGGTGATGATGTCTTCTTTCTTCAGTCAAATCTTCTCTCTTCGTTTTGTAGATCTTGAGAAAAATAAATATTTTAAATATTAAAAAAGTAATACATAAAAATTGAATAAAGTCACAGCCATGAATATTACAAAATAAATAACAAATATACTAAGTTTATGACTAAAGTTTTGATAATAAATTAAAATTATTAATTGATTATTTTCTTTTTCTAGTGCTACGTTTTCTTGTTGTGCTTGATCGAGTCTTCTTTTTAGGTTCTTCTGAGCTCTTCATTTTACAAACTTCTTCCATTCCAGGAGGTTGAGTACCTTCATATGGCGGACAAACATATGATGTGAGGTTAGAAAAAAGTGCGACTGGAGGCAATTTATGCGGAATATTAATTAGTTGATAATTATTATACGGATGAATGTTATATTGCGTTGATGCAATTGGGCCACAATGATTTTGATTCATAGACTGTAGGTTGTTTCTTTCGCCTAGTGGATTGTAGGAGTGATATTGTTTGGATTGTTTATGAGCTTGCTGTAACATTGTGTATTCTGAAGCATTATTTAGATCGGTCTTATTAACAATGATAGGATTAACTATTTTTTGATAAATAGAATCAGTTAAAGGGACTTCTTGAGGGGCCTTTGAAGTGTTTTTTTTACTTCCAGTTGCTGAGTAAATTGGAGTATTAACTGAAATAGATCTTTGAACCGAAGAAAAACTTGTCGAATATGAAAGATCTGCTAAATCAAGAGTAGAGTTTTTATTAGCAGCTGGCTCAAAAGTACCGGGCGGAATAAAGCTTGTCTTTATAACTTCAGAACTGTCCAATACAGGACTAAGAGAATTTTCAGGGTTTAGCAAGTAACTTGGAATAGGGGGGATTTGTTTTCTTTCTGCGGGGGTTTTAAAGGTTCTTTGAGTATCAAAATCCCTAACTTGAGCGTCTAATTCTCTAACCTCAGCGATACTCATCATCCATGGAGTGGCAGGATAGCAAATCTTTTTGTCTTCTTCAATCCTTTTTGCTTTTAAGATGGGTTGCGATCTTGCTTGAGCCAGAATTTCTTCTATTTTCTGAGGATTCAACGTTTCTTCTTCAATTTCAGGTTCGTCTTCTTTAGAACTTGCCATGGAGAGCTTCCTCTTTCGTTTTTTTAACGGTAGCGTTGTAAGCGATAAATCATCATCCTTTTCAGAATTATTGAATTCAATTTTGTTAAATACTTCGTTTTTACTAGTTTTCTCAAAATCGTAAGAATCTGGTACTATACTTGGTTGAATTATAGTATTAGAACTGGTTAAATTAGAATTATCAACTACTGGATCAATATCACAATGTTTATAAAAATTAGAATTATTTGATAAATATGAACTACTGTCTACAGATTGTATAATTGATTCTGATGGAAATTTTTCGTTGGTTTCTTGTAAACAATGTTGAACCACCTCATCTGAGTTTGGAAGCATGGGAGGTGAAGGAGAGCTGGAAAAATCTAATGCGGGGGTGGCAGGGGCAATAGGAGAATGGCAGAAAATCGACGGATCGGAATATATTGTTTCTCCCTTAGAAATTTTTTCTTGAGCTACCGATAAGGTTTCAATGGCTTGTTGTGAACAATTACAATCTTCATTTGAATGAAGAGCTACTTTTGAATTACCGTAATTTTGAAGCGTTTCACATATTAAAGCTTGATAAGAAGAAACAGATTGAGTTACCAATGTGTTTTCAACAATGCTTTGTTTTAAGTTTATTACTTCAGAAGGGTACTTATAATCAGAATTAGAATATAATGAAGTAGGTACAGTGTCTGGACTGTGAACAAAATGATGAGACTTTTTGAAAGAGGATGTCAAATTAATAACATCTGCAATTATTTCGCTTTCCGAATATTTAGTACTGCAATCTGATGCAATAAGCACTGGTGTAACACTTTGTACAGTTGGGGGTAATGATACAATATTTGATAGAGTTGTATTAGCTTCTTGGCACATAATATTAATCGGAAACTCTTTGGCTGCGATATTATAATTTTCTTTCAATGATTCCAAAGTACCTTTTAATGGACTAATTGAATAAGAGGAATTATAGGAATCACTTTGGATAAACTGAATATTAGAGTTACATAACGCTTTTTCATTGGATATAGCTAAATTTTTTATGTTATAGCTCATACTACTTAAATTTGTTTGGCTAGTAGAAGGTTCAATTTTAGCATTCGTTTCAATATAAGATTCCTGTGTAGTTACAATGGGATTGGATATTATTTGAACGGGTCTATTAACCCCATTACCAAGCGCAATTGAAACACAAATTTTCTCCGGTAAAGACTGAGTGAAATTAGGTATGATTTTAACAGGAATGCATTCTTGTGCAGATTTATCAATAATGGGCGTATTGTCAGTAACGACATATTCTAAACTTGTAGGAATAAAGTTTGTTTGTGATGTTTCGTTACAATCTGAAGAAACTACATACTCTAATGTTGTGGGAATAAAATCACCCTGGAGTATAACAAGTTCAGGATCATTAATTAAATTTTGAGAAGTATATCCCAACTGATTATCATTTACAGTCTCATCAGTTTGTGAAATAGAATCTGAATTGATATTAAAATTATTAGTATTTGACATATTTGAAGAGTTTGCTAAATCTTCAGCAAATTTTTTAGGTAAGCATTCATCTGCAGGTTTAAAACTTTCTTCCAATTCTATATTAACACTATTTTGAGGTAATTCTAAACATGAATTAGTTGTTTCAATGTTTGATACTAACCGAGTTTTATCAGCGTTTTGTAAAGGTTTAACACAATCTGTATATTTCATTATAGCAATATCTTTATTAGATAAATTAATTACACAACTATTTGAAGGTGGTAATTGTTTAGTATCTATATTGTTAATTTCCTGACAATTATTTGTAATATTTTCTAAATTGGAATTCTGGGAGGTTTCTTTTTCATGGGATTTGGTAAAGTGGAGGTTTGCAAAGGATTTTTGAAAGGATTCAACTTCCAATGGTGTGGTACAAGAATATGCTGAAATATATTTTAGGTTTAGAGTATTTCTTACTAGGGGGTGGTTTAAAAAAAAAGGAATGTGGTTTTAAAAATGTGGTGCAATAAATCAAATTTTGTTTTTGGTTTGTGTAATATTATTGATTTTTTAAAATATTTGATTTATTTGACATTATTTAAAATCACAATGAAATTTTAATGTCATTATGCTTGAGGGGTAAACCACTGATTAAGGAAAACAAGCACAAGGGTAGTCATGTGTCGCTAAGAGAAATTTTTTATTGATAAGGATTTTTCCTTATTGATAAGGACTGATAAGGAAAAATCAGAACACAACGTGAATATAACGTTGAACGTTGGTCTAGCTGATTTTAAAATGGTTTACCCCTCAATTATGCTAAGGTTAAATAAATTTAAAGCAAATATCCAGTTGGAGATAAACTGATGACTTACCTTGATCTCCATCATTTACTTCCAGTACCCCTTCAACATAATTAAACATCATCATAATTTGACCACTTTCCTTTTTGTTTTCCTTGATAAATTCCTCGTAAAGAATAGCCCTATCCAGTTGTAATCTCTGATAAGGTTCACCATTAATGGTAATGTTTTTTGTATCCTCTATGTTGCTTTGATCAAACAGCAGCGAATAGATCGGATCCATTTCGTTCGCGTGAAAGTTAACGGAACTCTTCTTCTTTTTGGGCCCATCCTTTTTCTTCAAAACGCTTTGAAGCGGTTTTGCTGGAGGCTTTGCTGCGATACCGTTGTTTTTGGGTTGGAATTTTTCTTTCGTGAATTCCAATCTAATGTCGTCTTTTATGTGATCAGCGTCTAGGCACTCGTAAGATGGGGATGTAAAGTCTGTTGGACTATTCGGGCCGCTATCCATTGCATCTGAATGCATTTGACCCTCAGTGCTTGGTGAACTGTTTGTTACAATACCGGATTCCCAAATTGACTTTTGAAATTCATCAAAATCACTCATACTAGCTGTAGGCAGGTTGACAAGCTGACTTTTTTGCGAATGCAATATTTTTGTTTCTGGTTTAGTTGGACTTAAATTTCTTGGATTCAGAGGTTCATCAATGCATGTGTTTTTAATAACTTGCTGATTTTCTTGCTGTTCTGTTGTATGCCTTAAATTGGAAGGACTTGTAGTTGGGTTATTTTTTATTTTATTATTGTTCTCAGAAACATGTTTGCTGACGTTTTCACTAACCCTATTAGTATCCGGTGGTATATTTGTTACATTAACTTGCTTAGCTCCATTTAAAGGGACTGCACTATTAATTTCACTTGTGTACACTTTTTCTCTATTAACTTCAGTACAATTTTCTACAGTACTGCTTTTCGGTTTATTATCACTTGTATATTGATCAAAACAGACGTCTTCCGAATCCGCATTGCAAAACGACAAGGAACATTTTTCCTTGATATTATCAGGCCGGCTGATATTTAACTCGTGCTCATCAATGTCTATATTAGAAGTAAAATTGCCTTCGTCTTCGTCAAAACTGCGTAACAATTCGTCCTCGCTCTCGTCGTTGTAATTATCTGGTTGATTTTCATCGTCATCTAATAAATCCTTATTGGCCAAGTCCATATTATGCATATTGTCATCTTTTTTTTTAGTATTTGGCAGAATGTCTGGCTCTACCTTTTTGGGAGACGTTTGCCTGTCATCCAAACCTATGCTTTCTTCGGGTTCCATCTCCAATGGTGGTGACAATCTGCCTTCTCCATCAGATGTAGGTGTGTCTGATGTCAAACAATCATCTTTTAAATAATACCCGTGTCCTTTGTGAACGTAAGACGTAACATATACGTCCTTATTCTCTTTTATTATCTCGCTCCGCCGATCGCCCTCCTTAATACGCTTACTGGTGCAAGGGTCGTGATCTTTATCGTCCTCGAGCGTGGGAGGTGTGTCTAACCCGTACTTGTACACGCAAGTACTGCTATTTGGATTACTAGCATTTAATTTAGATGTCGTTTCGTTTGACGCACTAGCACTATTTGTACCCGCACTTTTTGGGCTAACTAACTTATTATTATTGGCTGCACTAGATCTATAGTCTTTTGTTTTAGTCGTGATTGTCAGGCAAGTAGTGCATGATGATAAAGTACTGGGGCAAGGTGACACGCTAGGGACTGGGCAGGAAACTTCCTGTGAACATTCCTTTTCGGCGGATATGGTTCTTGTTCGCTTTCGATAGGACTTCCGAGGTTTATCGGGAATGACAATCGAATCAAGAAACTTTGTTGTCATCATTAGTGTTTGATTTTCTGCGGGTTCGTGAACCTGTTAACAAATAATACGTTTTATTTTAATAATCAACAAAATTTTGTATTTTGGTTTAGTAATCGTTTTATTGGTTGTAAAAATTAAGTTTTAATAAGAATATCTGTAGAATTTTTAATTTATTTAGTAATTTTAAATAGCATTTAATTAATAAAATTAAAATCTGAAACACTCTGTTGTTGTATTTTTAAATCCTTTTTTATGTTTTAACTGTATGAAATTAAGAGAGCATGCTAAGAATGACGTTTGGGTGCCAAACGTCCAAACTTTGGAATCCGATTTTATTTAGCGGCCCTACGGCATGTTTCGTTTTAGTCTTATAACAAGTTCAACAAAATTTGAAGTAAATCAATAAACATGAAATTTTTGACTGACTTTTTAAACGATGAATACAGCATACAGCACACAGCGAAAGTCGAAATAAGCCCGCAGAAAAAAAAATTGATTCAAAAATGGGCATTTTTAACTCATGTGCCTGGAATTGTAGGAAATTCAAAAATTCAAAATTTAACATTATTTTCAAGTAGGTATCACCAAGCAGAGAAATAATTATAGCTGATTAATAATCAGTGATTATGCAATAATTTTTTTAATAATACTTTATAATCCTTGATTTTTAAATAAAAATCATACAAAAGAAAATAACTAAAAATAGAAGTAAACTACTTATTAATATACTTTGTTTACTTTAGTTTGTTTATATATTGAGAACTTTAAGCAAATGCAGTACATTCTGCTGGACATGAAAAATGCTGTATGGCCTGGCAAAATTCTCATGTAGGTACTACACCATAATAGTGCACACCCAAAAGTTCCATCACGTGACTTTAATACAAATAAGTAAAGTTATCTTTCTGTCAGTGTCAAGCTAAATAATCCTATAAATGCATTTTTTGTGTATAAACACAAAAAATACATATATTATATTATTTTCGGAGACAAAATTAGTTTGTCACTGAAAAAAGATAATTTTAATTATTTGTATCACGTGGTGGGACCTCTAGATGTGGACTTCAATTTATAATTTCGATCAGTTTTTGTTTTTCACTGTATGCTAAACTATACTAACTAACAACAAATAAAACATTTGTAATTTTTTAATTGTTGTTGATTATTAATATGGTTTTACTGGACTTTATTGCTTGAATGGATAGAGTAAATACGGTGCCCCAAGTATTCTTTCATGTGTATAATACTTCTATGGGTATTTTTTTTAATGGAAGAGCAAAAGAGTAGTTAAATCAGAAAAAAGTTGGTTAATTGCAAGCCCATTAAAATAAAGTTCATAAATTGTAAAAAGCCATCGGTTCTTAAAATATTCGAAAAAATCCAAAAACCTTTCAAAAATCGTTACTTTGTTATCCCTTAGGTATACCTAGGAATATACCTAGGAATATTGAAAAAAGTAAGTTTCACATGTAAACATACTACAGTTGTATTCATTAAAAAAGCGTACAAGAATTAGAATGAGAGAAAACTGTCAACATTATTGCGTAAAACCGGCTTTCTACTGACTTAAGTCACTATAACTGACAGTAGAAAATAAAAATGCCTCGTCAGTTAAAAAGGCTCAAATAGTATCAAGAATGGTCAATTCGTACTGTGGTATAATAGAAATAAAAAATCTATATTAAAAATTAAGCAACGCTGGGAACAGGAAGATTTACTAAACCAAAAAGTTGGTTCAGGTCGTCCCAAAATGTCCACCCCTGAACAAGATGCTGCTTTTTTGAGATATCTGAGGACTTATGGGAAACTATACAACTATACTATACCTACTATACTGCTGGGAAGATATTAATCCAAATATTGTATTAAATTTAATTCAGTTCATCCCAAATAGATTGGTAAGTAATAGAGAAACAGGGATGCATGACTAAATATTAAATTTTTTTCATTATTAAAAGGTAATAATTTTTGTAATATTATTTAATTAACCTACGACGTCAATGCTCTTTATAACCTATAATAATTATTTTAATGACTTATGTCAGTGATAAGCCGGTTTTAAGCAATAATATTATTTTGACAGTTTTCTCTCATTCTAATTCTTGTACGCTTTTTTATTGAATACAACTGTACATTTTCTTTAATTTTTTTTTTGTTTACTTGATTTTTTTGTATAGATAAATGTGTATGTTTACAAGTAAAACTTACTTTTTTTTTTAATTTCTAAGAATAACTAAGTTAGAACTCTTTTTGAATTTGACAGGTTTTCAGTTTTTTTTTAATTTTGAAATGCCATTGTAATAGACTTCCCTGATTTAGCTGACCTGCCAAATAAAAAAATATACCCATACATACAAGGGTAAACAACTAATTTTTTTAAATTAAAAATCGCTTACGAATTAACGGCTAAGGAAAACAATCACAAGGGTGGTCATGACATTATGTGAAACGCGAGAAACTTCTTATTGATAAGGATTTTTTCTTATTGATGAACGACTAATAAGGAAAAATCAGAACCCTATATCTTTTATCTATGATCAGAACACAGCGTCCATATAACGTTGAACGTTGGTCTAGCTGATTTTAAAGTGGTTTACCTCTCAAATACATAATATGTATAATCAATAGGGTGGGTCGATTTTTGAATTTTAATAGTTGTGTATGGGACTAAAAGAAATGTAGGTATTTTATTTTTTTTTTTAATTTAAAATTTAACCCCCCCGCCGGCCCTTCAAAAATTATAAAATAAAAAAATTCAAAATCAAATTTGCCTGTACTAAAAATGTTTTCGTAATTGTTGTTTATAAACGCAAAATAATATATTTTTATAATTGGAATGCATTAACAGCCCCCGCCCGATTTATTTATAATATTTAGACGTATGTATTTTTTATTATAGTTTTACTATTATTGTATTTTAATCACCTTTTTGTATAAATTAAATATTTAATATTATAAAATATAAAATTTTAGAAGCCGGTCCTGTAATCCTATAATTATTTTAAAAACGTTTTAGTCCGGGCCTGTTCACAGAGCCAAGTCACTTGGCTCTGTGAACAGGCCCGGACTAAAACGTTTTTTAAATAATTATAGGCCCAAGTGTCATCTGTGTTTTCGTTGATTAATACGGAGGTGTTAGTGTGCTTATAAATCTGGTAGTGTAAAGTTATTAGTTCTTCGACAATAATTTTAGTACGTTTTTATTTTCAATTATAAATTTGGCGGCGGGCGTAAAGCGTAAGGTTTCTACTCGGCAGTCGTTTCGCGATCCCGTATTTGGTGAACCTCGTGACTTAAGTGAAACGGTACCGCCGTGTTATGGAGATGTAATGCGGTATTTTCTATTTGTACAAAAGAATTTAAGTGGACACACCAGTAAAAATAAAACTGTTGCTGAGATTTCCAAACTGGTAGTTGACAAGGTACAAATAATTTGGTGGAAAGCCAGGTTTGCCTACTATATCAAACCAGCAATGTGTTGCACTACTTAAAAAATATCACAAACAATTCATAGATCTTAAAAAATCTCTAAAGAAAACAAGTAGTTATGCCCGAAATAAATTACAATGTTTCCAAAATGAATCGAATAAAAAGCTTTTCGATATTTCGACATGCAAATGCAAAGAACTTTTATCGTGTGCTTGTGTCAAGTTAAAGAAGGTCCCTAAATTAGAACATGAATTTTTAAAAGATCAGAGAACCACAAGGATAATGTTTATGGGAAAAGCGGATCCCAAAAGCACTAGAGTTTTAAAGCAAAGGCTAGAAAGAAAAGGAGAAACAGCTAGCTGCAGTGGTTTGAAGTCCGAGGCAAAAACTCAACCTAACGAAGTTTTTTCAGACTCATCAGCGCAAAAGACATATCACTTGCCCTACCGTCACTTGCAAAAGCAATAGATCGAGCAGGATTATCGAGTCGTAAAGGTGCAATGATAGCCAGTGCAGTCCCTGAGGATGTTGGTTTAATCACAAAAAGTGACACATCTTACGTAATCGATAAGTGTAAATTGGATCGCCAAAGAGCTCGGCTCGACTTACAAAAAAAAAGTGCAGAGGACGGCAAAATTTTACAAGCCCTTTATTTTCATGGACGCAAAGACCGCACCTTCCACATAAAAAAAGCAAGAAAGCACATCATCTAGAAAAACTGTTGTTGAAGAGCATGTAGTTTTAATCCAGGAGCCTGGTAGCAATTATTTGGGACATGTAACACCTGAAAACGGGACGGCTAAAAAACTTGCATCAAGTATTCTTAGTTATATTGACAAAGCTAGTATCTCTACAAGCGTCTTTGGCTGTCTGTGATGAGAAAAATAGGGATGGTTGGATACGTACAACAATAGAGTCCAGAAAGAAAATGCCCAAATTTAGTACAAAGTCAGAATATGTGGTGAGCACAGAATAATCTAAAATGCCCACATGGAAGGGTGGTTGGGCGGGCAGGGGTGGAACTCGATGGCAGCCACCTCCCCGTGGTGAGTTCTGGGTTATTTTGAGTTTAAGTATTGCTCAAAATAAGCGATGGGCTGCCTTGTAACAATTTTGTTAATTTTAAACAAATTATTTACATTTTTGGATGTGTGGCGGGGGGCCTAAATGTACTTTAAATTTGAAAAAAAAAAATTGAGGACTCAAGAGACCCAAATAAAACATTCCCCAACGCAGGCCTATAATTTTTTTAATATTTATATCTTTTTATTTTTGGGGGCCCGGCGGGGGGTCTAAATTAATTTTGTAAATTGAAAAAAAAATATTTTTCAAAATAAAAGCCCAACCTACAACTTTTCCAACCACAGGCGTTCTAATTTTATAAAAAATACTAAAAAACGACCCACCCTAATAATCAATTCACGTTCCGAGTTTTCTTTATTAGTTTGGCTACAATGATACGTTTTTTTAGAAAGCTGGTATCTTATTCAATTTTAAAATTTGATGACAACCATAAAAAACTGTCAGAAAATATTCTGAATGCGATTCTAAAATAAAACCTAAATTAAGCGGCTGGCCTAATATTTTAAAGAGACTATTCCACTCATTACTTTATGGACCAA